CTTGGCAGGTGGTATTCATTCTCTATTTGTTTTCTCAAGAGATTTTTGGGGAAAACTGTTTGTCTGTAGCTTTTATAATTGAAAGATCTTGGTTGAATATAAAATATTTGGCTCAACCTTTATCTTCTTAAGAATATTTTAAGCCCAGTGTCTGGAGTTTAATAATTTGGTAGAGTAGTGTGAGGAAAATGTTTCTCTCTCTCTCTCTCTCTCTTTCTCTGCTCTTTCCCTTTACAAGTGACTTGTTATTTTGCCTTACTGATAAATGTTTATTTTAAAATTCCAATAACTTTACTAGGCTATATCTTAATATTTTCCATTGTACACTTCCCTTAGTATACAGTACATCCTTCAATATGTAGATTCAAGGCTTCCTGTCATTATTATATTTTGAAATTTTTATTCTGTTCAAGTGGTGTGAAATATTCTCCTTTGACTATCTTCTAATCTATCACTGTCTAACTCTTCCTTAACTCCTTGCTTGTTTGTGGATATTCTTTTCAAGGGGAAGTGTTGATTCTTCATTTCTGTCTTTCATATTTCTTATTGTGTTTCACATCATCTCCTTTCTTGCATGTCACTCAATTTCATCTTCAATTCTAAGACTGTTTCCTTCATTTCCTTTCCTAAATTTTGCCAGTCCATATATTTTCTAATTTTTAGGCCATATTTTCCCTGAGTTATTATATTTGAGTTCTGTGATTTTTATATGTATATTCATGGTTGAATCCTTTATTAAAATATTCCTTTAATTTGCAACAACATATTTACTAAGCATTTTTCCACTCTTTGATTTGCTGTTTGTTTGCATATTTTTTAAAAATTTGCATAATTTTTATTACAATATTGTTGTTCTAGATCTCCTTGAGTTACTACTGGTTGAAAGAGTTGGGCTTTCCTGAAACACTTGCACTGTTTGCTTTATATTTATTTTTGGCTGATTGAGTAGTGACAGCATCTGAGATTATCCTCTAGATTTCTTAACTCAAAGGCTACCTCTTCTGTCACTTGGCTGATCAAATGTTTTATTAAACTATAGTGCCTGTGTTGGCTTTCATTTTGTCTCTTTCAAGACAGCTAGTTTCAGGAAGGCTTCTGTCCCTACATGTGCACCCTGGCTTCCCACTGACTACTATAACCAATCTTTGCCAGATTTCAAGACAGATCACGCACACTTACATAATGTAATTTTACTGGAACTTCTGAGGTTTGCTCTCCCAGGATTCTCACCCAAACTCCTTCATGGGATCCTTACCAGAAACATCCTTTATATGCCTCCACTCTCTACCTTTCCTGGGTAAGCACTTTGCCTTATCTATTACATCATTCTCAGCCATCCAACATTTGCAATTTAGGATGGGTAACTGATCTTTGAGACCATAGCCTTTTAGAAGCCCTCTCTGGAATCTGCTGCTGCTTTACCCCTCAGAGTTCCATTCTAAAACACTCTGCCATTTCCTATACAATGGGCCCTAGCAATACAGCTTCCTGCATGCCTTTGTTTGTTAATAAGCTCTTTGCCTTATGTTGGCATTTATGCATTCCCTCTAATTGCTGCAATGAAGGCTTGCCTTTTTCTGTCCCTTTATGCAGATTTTTCCAGTAGTGAACAAGAAAGATTCATATCTAAGATGTTGCCACATTTATACCTGCACCAGTTCAATTTCACTGAAGAAACCAAATTCACAGTGCGTAGATTTGATGCTGACATTTCTATGACAAGTAGTGACTGAGAAGGTACTAGAACTAAGATACTTATGTTCCAGTCCAATCCTCATTTGCCATCCATATTACCCTTTTTCCTCTCTGGTATACTACACACCTAGAGATCACTAATGGTTTGCTTTTTATGACCAATCTAATGCTAATCTAATCGATGTTTTAGTGATGTTACACAAATATCATTAATTACTCATGTAAGATTGTTCCCAAATTCCTTAAATGTAATTACTTCTTGGTTGTGTGTCCTAGGCTAGGGGTCAGCTATTACACACCAGGGAATTAGTAATATAAATGTTTATATAAGGTTTGGATTATATATATATACATATATATATATATATATATATACACACACACTTGCATGTATATATATATACATGTATATATATAGTATATATACAATTAAGATACATATGTATAATTTCATGTAATTAATTCTATTAAGAATTTTTTTCTCAACTGAGAAGAAAGAAAAGAAAGATATCAGCAAGATGATATCACTGAGATCACCAGCAAGTTGGAGCAGTCTTTGAAAAATATAAATTCTTGTTTTCATTTCTTATTTATAAACAAACCCAAAGTTAAGGGAAACAAAGGGAAAAAAATAACAGAGCATAGAAGCAAATTGTCCATCAGGTGATATTATCTGGTACTACAAGGAGCTTTTAGAGAGAAGAAAATACCACAAAATCATTTTATAATCAGTATTCTAAACACAACTTTGCCCTAAATAGTGCAGGAGACATTGCACAGCCATTTTTAATTTCAAAGATTACAACATCTCCTCTGCAGAATTCAGCTTTCACCAAAGGCTTACAGAAATTATTTCCAAGGCTCTAATACCATTAAGTGAAAAAGATACAAATGATCATGAGCATGTGGTTGAATCCACTAACTTCTACTTTATCCATAGCAGTTTAGCTCACTGAAGTTTTTAATTGTTTAAACCACTTCAGTCAGATACTGCGACGATTCTCATTCACCAACCAATATCTACCAGTGAGTAGCAATCTACGTGCTCGGCTTTAAAAACTCTGGTGCTCTAATGAATGTGTGGCAGAAGGTGCATGACAAGATTACTGAGTAGTTCACCCCTTGGTCTCTTTTTCTCTTGTTTTTTTTTTTTTTTTTTTTTTTCTTCTCAGTAATAAAGTCTGAGAAAACTATGTGCCACCTGAGATGGGCAACTTGTCTAAGGGCCATGTTTTGCACCCTTATTAAATTGGATAGTATGCTGTTTCTAAGTTAGCAAAGAGAATTTAGAAAACATTCACATGGCTGTATCCAAAGGCTTGTTGGATATTTTATAGAGTCATCCCTCTTTAGGCAAATGCAGTTTAAACCAATAACCTATCATTAAGAGGAATCTCAGTCTTTCCATAAGAGTGGAAACTTTTGGGAAACATCCAGTTAATAGGACATGCTATTTTCAATGCAAGCAGGTGCTCCTGTCAATGAACGTTTTGAAGGAACAACGGATGCTCTGTCCTCCAGAGGTTTGTTGAAGCTGTCGCTAAGGTCACAATAGTGATAGCGTGAGTCAAACTATCAATTAATGTGAACCAAAGAAGATCATACCTTGTCTTGTCTAGCAACTTGCTGAGCTGTGAGTGATGTATCTCAGCATTAGATACAGATAGACCAAATCCTCTTTTAGAAAATGGCAAAGAATTAAAGAATAAAACTTACCCAGAGAGAAGAAGCAAGGGACAGACTGACCTTGACAAAGTAGACTCATAAGATTTGAGGCTGTTTATTCTTACGAAGACTCTTTTTTCTGCTCTCAATAAAAGCCAGCCTCCATTCATCCATTCACTCATTATCAATGACAACAATAACAACAAAAATGCATGTTGGCCTAGAACACACAAGGCATGACTAAAAAAAATCAAGTAATTCCTTTTTCTCTCTGGCAATTCTAACTGGTAATATTTAGAGATTTGAGAACAAATACTTAAGAAAAGTATATATGTTCTCTTTCCTCACTAGATAGAACCTTGTCATATTAGGAACACTACATCTCCTAATTTTACAAACTTCAGAGAGAGCTGATTTATTATTATATAAAGTATAAAGAAAACATCTCTTTTTCACACAAGTTCTCAGCGTTAACCCATATGACAGACTATTTCCCACAACAAGGACATGGTGAAATTGTATTTGATTAATCTTAATGAGGTTATACAAATATAGAAATATATGTTCCTAAACCATTTAATCTAGAATTTTTAAGAAATCTCATTATTCTATTCTTCTGGAATAATTAGGATGATGTGATGATCTCTGAAGGCTTAAAGTGAATTCTGATCATACTTATTACTAACCTCTAATCTTAGTCAAGTTATGTAATTTATCATAATCCCTGCTTTCTTATCTTTAAAGTGAGAAGAATAATCATGACTCCCCCTCCCATTTGTCTTACAGAGTTTTTTTTTGATAAACCAAAAGATCATATGTGAAAATACTTCATAAGTTATAAACTATCATACAAAGGTTTCTTGTTTTTATATTGGTTCAAGTTGCACTATTCTCTTTTGACAATTTCAATAGGATAGAAGAAGGAAAATAATAAGACCTTTGTTTTCAGTTAGTTTACATATTTTGTCACTGGAGGTTAAAATGCCAGAGTATGGTTTATCATTTTCTCTTTAGAAATTTCTAGAAGTTAGACATTGAATTAAATCAGCACATCTTCCCTTCAGTTTAAACACGAAGACTTCCAGAATGTTGTTATCCTAAAGATATTATTTATAAAATATGAATACAGATTCACTTTTCCACCTCATTTAAATCAAGTTAATGACTACCATCCTCTTTAGTGGACATAGTCTCCATATTTTTCATGAACTTTGAGAAGGGTACTTGAAATACTCTGCTCTCTGTTAGAAATGCCTAATACCTGAGCTTGATTCATGTGTAAACATGCTCTATTCTATATCCATACTTCTTGTCATGGCTTGCAGTATGTATCATATTGATTTGTTGAATTTAGACATATTTCTCTGTTGGAAACAGTGTTAAAAATGCTGTCTCATTTTTAATCTAAACATATCTACTTAAAATGTAAGTAAGTTTCCCTTTGAATCCTGAATTATTTTCCTATACAGCTAAGAGACAAATTCTCTCAAAACAGGATAATGTTTCACTCTCCTTTACAATGACAGCGAGACAAACCTAATTGAGAATCTCAAACAAATTCATGCTCTTTTGTCATAACTTCCTTCTCAGGAGAGACATAGAATGTATAGGAGGGCCTTGTAAAAGTCCCTGTAAAGTCAGCTCTTCCCATCCTCTTTAAAACCTTTTTGTAAAGCATCTGTCTATATAAAATAATAATGTCATAAAAGGGGTTTCAAATTAAGGACATTTAATTGACTCAAGATAAAGGAATAATATCAAATAAATAGGAAGGAGATAATACTTATAAATAATGGCAATCTATATTTCCAAAAGATAAGGCCAGCCCAATTCAATGTGTAAACTGTGTCCTCTCATATGCCTACCCAATCAACAGAGACAAACTATATTCTGCATAGAGAAGGTATACAAAAATACTTGTTGTTTGGATGTTTGGGTGGTGAATGATTCTTCAAAATAGAAAAAAAAATTCCAAGATGTAAAATGCAATAACATATCTATGGGTATAAATTAATATAATAATAATCAAAGAAAAGGGAGGCTTATAGTTTAATTTTTTTAAGGGGTAAAATCAGGGTCCTGGGTGGCTAAGTCAGTTAACCATCTGACTTCAGCTCAGGTCATGATCTCACAGTTTGTGGATTTGAGTCCCGCATCGGGTTCTGTGCTGGCAGCTTAAAGCCTGGAGCCCGTTTTGGATTCTGTGTCTTCCTCTCTCTCTGTCCCTCCCCCACCCATCCTCTCTCTCTCTCTCCCTCTCTTTCTTAAAAAATAAACGTTAAACAAAAGGTAAAATCAAAGAGCTTAAAATTAGAGTCAAAGATTATGACAGCAGCAGACTATCATCTCATATCCGACGTAAGGCAAATGTCTAAAATCTAGAATACTTAAAGCATTATTGAGTAGGCACATGACATTATAGAAATAAAAAAGATTTACTTCAAAATGATCAGACCTCTGAAATGGAATTGATTTTCATTGCATCTGTCAAAAATGAAGAAAAAAAAAAGTCCACAAAATAAAATGGCATTTGATACAAATGGCACTATTATTACATATAAATTGAATATTGAGACTCCATACAATCTACTTGCAAACTAGATATTCAGACATCTAAAAATGAAATCTGTAATAGGGAAATATAGTGAAGTAGTACAGCATTAAAAATGTGGGCACACCAGTGGAATACAAAAGTAAATTATACAAAGTCACTTTTCTCAAAGAAGAAATGTTAGAATTAATGCTGGAATTTTCTTGGAAGAAGCTTGGAAATATTTCAGATTAAGAAAAAACCTTTTTTGTCTAAAAGTGAGTTTCTCTATAACTTACTGCTATCATTTCAACAGGTTATTTTAACTTAATTCCAAATCTACACATAATTTACAGAAAACATAATTTATACTATTTGGTTTGATTTAGCCTTTAATATTCAGCAAACCTTTGCATTTCTAATATAAGCTTTACATGATATTGTATGAATAAAGGGAAATGAACCCATGGAGTTTGATATTTAGCTTAATCTCTACAGAAATGCTCTTGGTTTGACCACCATAAAATGCATTTTCATGTTCCTATTGAAATGTGGGGAGCATCCAGAATGAAAAGACCTGGGCAGGTCACTGCAAACGAAAAGATAACACTGAAACATCTTAAATATTCTTGTTGATGTATTTAAATGGATTATTATGTTTCCCTACAACAGAGCATATGAAATGATAAGAAAATGTAAAGGCAGTGACTCATGCAATGAGCAAGTCCCGGTGTCACCAAGGTCTAGGCTGAAACTATGAGTTGGACTGAATGGTGAAGCCCAACATTGTTAGTTGAATCAACTTTCTGAATAAATTCACAGAAGAAGTCAATGAGAAAAGAAGGGTAACTGTCAAATCTGCATAGATGCAGAAGCAAAAAAATAATAGACCAAAAAGATTCTATTCAAATGCTAATTTAAATAAAATAGTAGGAAATGTAGAATAATTTCAATAATAAATGTAAGAATAAATTTTTATGTAGTTTGTTAACACATATATACTCAATATCTCCATAGTCTGCCACAAGCATCCCAATTATATTTTAAAATAATCAGGTAGTAACTATAGCTAAACAAGAATTAGATTGTATTTCCTCACATCCCTCTTTTTCAACTGCTTTTTGTTCTATCTACAAAATCATATCTGTGACCCTGGCCCAGGTGTTTAAAAACACATCAAACATGAATATTGAGTAGATTAATACAACTGGAGAATTTTGGAAATGGAACATAGTCCAACGTCATTAATGAGACACTGAACTGGAGAGACAGTAATGGACTTTATGGTAGGGCCGAGGTTTGAAATGAGGAGCCAACACCACTTAGTCATCCAGGTAAAGCCAGAGACAGACAGATGCAAAACACAGTGGGTCTCCTTCAGCCTGTGTGCTTTTGCTAATGCCGCTCCTGCCGGGGTGGCTCTAGCTCTCCATCTACACCTGCTGTCATCTGAACCATTCTTAAACACTATTCAAGTTTCACCTCTTTTAGCTGGTGACCACATCTGTAGTTGTTCTCTTCTCAGATACTTCCCTTACTGACCTTGAGCTTTACTCTTCTCCTGCTGTCTCCCTGGTTTGTACTTTCTCGTATACATGATTAGCTCTTACTTGGATAGGAACTCTGAAGACAGGGACCTTGTTACTGTTTATAATCCTGAATCCCAGCACACTGCTTTGAATTACAGTTACTCACTGAATGTCTCATAAACACACACACACACACACACACACACACACACACACACACACTGAATAAAATGAATGGATACTTAAATTGTGAATTCAGAACAATGCTTCTCAAAACATGATTTGAGAGCAATCTGTATCCTAATCTGCAGCAAAAGAAATTAGCAACCTTCGGAATATAAAACTTCAAGGATGGGGTTCAGAAATTTGATATGTATCCATCTACTCAATAATACTTGAGTCTGTTAAAGTTTGTGAAACACTATGGGTGAGGAGGGGATGAGAATGAGAGATTTCTATTACTTCAGTCATGCATACTTGGGTCATCCAATGCCTTATTTTACTACCATCTATTCGATTCTCCACGTTCTTTATAAACATCTAGCCAATTCCCTAATTTGATACAGTACTGTTTGGAGTGTTCAGAGATCAGAGAATCTGTCTTTATGAGTCTTGCCAAAACATCTCTTAATGCCACCTGTAGAGAAAGCATCATTTCACACACCTATATTAAAATATAGACTCAAATTGGGCTTTTTCATATTTAAAATTCGTAAGTTCTTTCTGCATGTGCAGATGTTAAACTACTACCTCAGTTCTGTTTGTACTGATACGACTTGGAAGCTCGGGTTTTGTTCTAAAAGATAGACATGGATTTTTTACACTGTCTAATTTTGCCATGCTATGGATTTGCTACTTCTCCAATATCATGTGTTCCTGTTAAATATAGTTGTATTTGTTCAGAGTCAGTTTCTAAAGTAGTAGCAGAGAAGTAACAGTAGATAATGGGTTAACTCAGGCATTTTCAGCAAAGTAAAGGAAAGCAAGCTACTGTTTAAAAGGATAAACGACTAAAGAAGAGAGGCTTTCATGAAAAGAAAAATTTTCCAACTTTTGGTATGAAAACAGGAAATTATATTGACAAACATTGGCCTATTTAGACTTTTTTTCCCATTGTGGTTTTCTTTTTCCCTTTGTTTCCCTATAGTTCCCTTAGAACTATAGTAGCTGACCACAATTTAGAGAAGTTGAATTAACTCTTTTCTGGGCTGAATGAATTCAGTAAAAAAGCCTATATTGTTTGTTCTATTAATACTTGTAAGAGAAAAAAAAGATGCATACTGCAAAATAAAGAGATTTTCATGTGAATCAAGAATTGTTGATACCTAGGAGTCATGGAGAATTGTTCAGAATTTCACAGGGCACTAAGAACTTTGCAGATTTTATTTCACTTCATTTCACATACACCTTTTTTTTTTGAAATTAAGACCTTATTTTAGATAACCAAATAGGATGCAGTAAGAATGAGAGTTAAATACTATTTTCTGAGATCACACAATTTCTACAGGACTGTGATTTGTACACTGAGTGTTGCACTTCAAAGCTCTTGATCTCTTCGCTTAAAAACACTATTTCCGGGGCGCCTGGGTGGCTTAGTCGGTTAGGCGTCCGACTTTCGCTTAGGTCATGATCTCGCGGTTCGTTGGTTCGAGCCCCGCGTCGGGCTCTGTGCTGACTGCCAGCTCAGAGCCTGGAGCCTATTTCAGAGTCCGTGTCTCCCTCTCTCTCTGACCCTCCCCTGCTCACGCTCTCTCTCTCTCTCTCCTAGAAATACATGAAAATATAAAAAAAAAAAAACAAAAAAAAAACCACTATGTCTATGAGAAAGCAAAAGACGGAAAACTTCTGTTATCAAAGCCATGGAGAAAGGTTTAATATTCACTACCAAAACGGATAGTGAGATTGGCTCATAAATTGCAGTGTTTTCTATCCTCCAATTTCTGCTCAAAATTACTCACTATTCTTTACTTACATTTTTTCATTGAAATAGTAATGAAATTCATGGCAAAAATAGTAAACACAATAAAGCACTAAACAATGCAAAATGGAATACTGCAAAAGGTCAATATATTTCTTACCTCTACACATCGGCACTCTGTGTCCCATTCTCAAAAGCAATCATTGATGTTGATTCAATTATACATCCTCTGAGAAATATACAATGCTTATACAAGCAATATAAGTATGTATGTATGTGTGCTTGCATGTATGTACACGGATCCTTTTTATAGACTCATAGAAGCATAGTATACACAAGGACATATGCCCCCGTTTTCCAGATGTATAACTGTCATCATATTTAAAAGTGTATCTTCAAGGTCATTTTTCAATGTATGTGTAAATCTATCACCTCTGTCTTTTTAATAATTGCATATTCCTTCAATGCATTCCTTATTAAACCAATCTGTTACTGCTGGAATTTATTTTTCCAGTATTTTATTATCAAAGACAATGTATATATGCATTGTTAAATACACATGTCTGCAAATACATTCTTACAAATGTGATTCCCAGTTAAGTGTGTTTGAATTTTCTAATTTCTGCATTACTTCCCCAGAGTTTTCAGCTATTTCCACATGTAACAGTGTTTGAAATGGCTTGTTTCCTCTTGCTCTCACCTACAAAATATTATCACATATTTTTGATCTTTGCCAGTGTGGAAAGTGAAAAATGGCATCTCATTATTTGTTTAATTTGCATTTAATTATGCACAAGATTATGTTTTCATATATTTAAAAGCCATTTATCTTTGAATGTATTTATTACAGTGAAGTGTGTCTTCACGCTATGCCTGTTTTCCTCTTGCATTTTGATCACTTCTTTTATTGATTTATATTGATTTATAAATACTCTTTTATAATAAGGAAACTAGGCTTTTGTCCATCATTTGGGCTACGTATATCTTTCCCTGTTTATCTTTAGTTGTTGTTACAAACTATTTGCCCTGTAGAAAATTTAAAATTATAAGACTCAAATTTATCATCAGTCTTTTTCCTACCTGCTTCTGGCTGCTTATATCTTATTTTAAAACTTTGATTCTACTTCAAGTTTATCTAAATTTTTTCACACACATTTATTTTAGAGACACAAATAGAAATCCAGTGTTATGTTTTTCCCCAAATATTTAGACAACTGTTCTGAGACTTCAATTTGAAACACTGTATTTTCATTTTTTCTCATAGGTCCTGAACATTCTTACTAAATTTATTAATAATAAGATTGATTTTTTAATTTCCTCATCTTTAAATGAGTATAACTTTAAGATCATTTTGAGGATAAAATTTCATTTATATAAAAGATCATTTAACAGTGATTAGCTCATAGTAAACACACATATTATGTTAGCTATTATCCTTTTTACTATTGGCTACTTTATAATAATTTTATGACTTCATACCTTACTGGATTTAAAATGCATTAATTTCAATAGCTTTAAACAATAATGTATTTAGTAATATTTAGATTGTTTTAGCTTTCTCATGAATAGACTCTGATGACCAAAAAATGATTACATTGCATCTTTTAAAATATTTTAACTCATTTTTATATTTCACAATATTGCTTTGACTTATACTTGCAGAGAAAATTTAAGCAAAATGTGGCACATTTTTTTTCTGTTCCTGGCCTAACAGAAGTAGCTTTCTATTGTTTTTTAGTTATGCATTTTTTGATATACCTTTTTAGGCATTGACATTAGTATTGCATAAGCTATTGATTACTTATGTGACTTTTCTCTTTTTTTTAAAGTTTATTTATTTATTTTGAGAGACAGAGAGGCTGTGTATGTGAGCAGGGGAGGAGCAGAAAGAAACAGAGAGAGAGAGAGAGAGAGAGAGAGACAGAGGGAGAATCTCAGGCAGGCTCTGAGCTGTCAGCACAAGGCCCTACACAAAGCTCAATCTCAAGACCTGCAAGATCATGACCTGAGCCAAAATCAGTAGTTGGACATTTAATCAACTGACCCACCCAGTCTTTTCAATTTAGACTTTTTGTACCTCTTTTTAGACTTTTGACATTGAAATATCTTTGAATATCTAGGATAATTCTTCTTGCACTTTATTTTTTTTTAATTTATTTTTAATATATTTGCTAATTTGGTATTTAGATACTTTTCATAAATAGGATTAAATTATTTAAGTTTCTTCATTGTAGGCTACATTATATGTTTGCATGGATATATACTACATAGTATGAAACTTGCTTTATATAAAAGTTTTAAAACTGTTTCTTATTTTTATATACTCTGCAACTTTAAATATAATTGGATTTATCTGCTCCTTAAATGTATGACTAAAATCCATTGAGAAGATTTTGTTTTTTTAATTTTTTTATAGTTTATTTATTTTTTAGACAGAGCATGAGTGGGGGGCCAGAGAGAGAGGGAGACACAGAATCTGAAACAGGCTCCAGGCTCTGAGCTAGCTGTCAGCACAGAGCCTGATGGGGGGCTCGAACCCACAAACCGTGAGATCTGACCTGAGCCGAAGTTGGATGCTCAACTGACTGAGCCACACAGGCGCCCCCATTGAGAAGATTTCTTTTTCTAGTAATTATTTTCATTTTGTAGGATTGGGGCCCATAAGTTCTGATGGTGGAGAGGTAGACACAAAGGGAAGTTTTATCACATTTCTTATCCATAGCTGTAATAACTACTTTGTAAAAAAAGTCCTGTCCCTTCCAAATATAGCTTTTCAGCTTTTTTTTTTGGAATGGAATTAAATACAGAATTCTCCTAAAATTTATTCAATTTCCTTTGTATTTGTAGGTATTTGTCAATTTTATTCCAAACTTGAATGTTTGTCGTTTTAATAATATTGTTTGCTATTGATTAGATAGATAGTAATATGTTTTATTGCTGTAAGATTTTTTAGAGATTTCCCTTGAAATTATCTATGAGTTCTAACATTTGCCTTTTCTCTAATTTTTAATTTCTTGCTATTTCCTGCATCAATTCCTTCCTTTTGTTCTTAATATTGATATACTTTTTCTTATTTCTTGAGTTATTTTTTAATTTATTAATATTTGGTCACAATTAAAAGTGGATAATTTCCTTTATTTAAAGTCAACTAATGGTAGATATTAATCACATCTACAAAATGCCTTTACAGTAACCCTTAGATTAGGATTGGATTAAATAACTAGGTAGTATAACCTAACCAAGCGTATGGATAAAATTAGCCATCATAGTGATAAAACTCACCTAAAAGAAGAAAGCCATTTTTATTATAAATGTGTCTTCTCCATTCCTACCAGTTTTCCTCAGTGGAAATGTCCAGCCTCTCACTCACTGCTCCCTGGATTCTAATCATCTCTCTGCCCTTCAGCATATGGAGGTAGGGAGATAACTTAGGGTAGTGAGCTTTACCAAAACAAGTTATTGGTTCCCATCACAGTCAAGCCAAAACATCACATCAAAATTTACTTGGCTTTTTGCTCCACACAGTTGATGGTCTTTCACTTTTAGATACTAAAAGTAGCAATACACTAAGCAAATTATGAGGGGAAAAATAATAGTAAAACTATCACGTTGTCCATATTTCATCCCACTTAACAGTGTTGCTTAACTTTCTTCTAAATAGGCTATGATTTCTCCAGTTCAGGGCCACTGTGTTTACTCAGAAATTTTCAGAGTTTTCTACGTTAATTCCTTAGCATTTTCAATTTCCAACTTACCATATTTTGCATCTTCATAGTTGAGTTGCTTGAGTTAACCAGAAGATTGACCAATATATTTAAACTTAGAAAAGTGT